CAATACCGGGCAATTTTCCCCCTTCCTGCCCAGGCCAGTTTTCAGGTTTCAGCGCTCTCACACTTTGAATGACAATTGCGCGGTCATACAACATTGTACCCAAACTAAAATTTTATCATTTTCTTCACACAACTAGAGCTTTCTTTTGGTGGTATTTAATCACCGCTGGGGTTTTTATTTTTTGCTAAATTAACAAAAAAAGACCAAAGATTTTGAAAAAAACAAACGTTTTTCTTTGTTTCTGTTATAAAAGTTTACAAATAAATAATTGTTCTTCATAAATTTAGGCCGAGATGTATTCAGCTACATGTCTTTGGTGAAAATTACCCAAATTAGTATGTATTATTTAGTTTGTAGGAAAGTTATAGAGTTCACAAACTATGGTATAGATCTGAATATTGATCAATTCTGAAGTACTGACAGCCAATCTAATTTCTTGAGGTCCAAGAATGTCAGAACAGTACAGATATCCCCCAAATGACCCCTTTTTGCAGAGTAGACAGTCCGACGTACTTCATAAGAGGCATGGCGAGTTTTTTGAAGTTGTATTTTTTTTGTCATAATTTTTCGGAAAATGAAAAAATGTAAAAAAATTAGTTTCACTTTTTTTTTTTACATACTGTCACCAGTGCAGTACAGCGTCATCATATAACTGGCATGGTGGTGATCAGGGGACACTGACTGGTGACAGTATGGGAAAAAAATTAAAAAAAAAAAAAAAAAAATATATATATATATATATATATATATATATATATATATATATATATATTTTTTTTTTTATTAAAAATTTTTTAAGATTTTTTTTTTCATATTTCACTATGACCAACGTAGTACAATGTTACCATAGTAACATTGTACTACTTTGGGGAAGTGATCAATATTTTTTTTTTTTTTACACAATTTGCTTATAGCAAAGAATTACTTTGCTATAAGCAAGCATTTACCTGAATGACATCGATTCATTCAGGGTTTTTTTTCTTTGTGCTTAGCTGTGATTTGGCCACAGCTAATCACATGACATGTGCATGTGACCTGCTGTGACCATTCACAGCTAGACACTAGTATACAATGGATGGCATGAATGAAGCGATCCATTGTATACAACTGTCATGTGACCTGCTGTGATTGGTCACAGCAGGTCACATGGTACCGGCAATGGGGGCCAGTACTCAGATCTGTCATCGGCCATGTCCGTAAAAAAATGTAAAAAAAGACTGTTTGATCCTGTCTTCTCTGATCCTCCTTCTACCTTCCCTAATATTCAGTGAAGGAAATAAGTATTTGATCCCCTGCTGATTTTGAATGTTTGCCCACTCACAAAGAAATGATCGGTCTAAAAATCGAATGTTCGGTGTATTGTAACACTGAGAGACAGAATAGCAACAAAAAATTCAAAAGAAATGCATGTCTAACAAATGATGCACTGATTTGCATGTTCATGAGGGAAATAAGTATTTGATCCCCTATCATTCAGCAGGATTTCCTTCACTGTATCTGCTGATAGTACAGAGCTCTAGGAGTCACTCTGCACATGCTCAGTTTAGTGTGTATGACTAGAGAGGTTTTTTTTTTTCTTTGGGAGAGTGCGCATGATCAGCACAGCGCCAACCAAGTCAAGTTATTCCCCCTGAGGTCATCACAGAGGACAAGGGGACACTCTTTACGTCTGGAGGAAAATATATTTAATCTCCAAATATAGAAAGGTTTCTTCACAGTGAGAGCTGTGAAAATGTGGAATAGACTCCCTAAAGAGTTGGTTCTGGCCAGCTCAGTGGATTGTTTTAAAAAAAGTCCTGGATTCTTTTCTAGATACACAGAATATAACTGGATATAACATTTATAGGTAAAGTTGATCCAGGGAATATCCGATTTGCCTCTTGGGAGATCGGGAAGGTATTTTTTCCCTGCAGGAGCAAATTGGATCATGCTGTGCTGGGTTTTTTTTTGCCTTCCTCTGCATCAACTGTGGGTGTAGGATTATAACTTTTATTTTATGGTTGAACTGGATGGACTTTTGTCTTTTTTCAGCCAGACTAACTATGTAACCAGTGCTGTCCAGACACAGGGTCAGGGGTCATACAGCCACATAGGCCAGTCAGAGGAGAATGAAAACTCCTCCTACAAGCTTAAACCAGTGCTCCGCTAGAAACTGATAGACGTCACAAGACTGCTCTAACTGCTGATGAGAAAAAGTATTTTTAGCAGTTTATATTTACTAAAATTATAGCATTTCCATGTTCTGTGTACTGTGGGAGACCAGATATAGTGAATGCGGGGTCCGGGGAGACCGGATATAGTGAATGCGGGGTCCGGGGAGACCGGATATAGTGAATGCGGGGTCCGGGGAGACCGGGTATAGTGAATGCGGGGTCCGGGGACACCGGGTATAGTGAATGCGGGGTCCGGGGGAGACCGGGTATAGTGAATGCGGGGTCCGGGGAGACCGGGTATAGTGAATGCGGGGTCCGGGGACACCGGGTATAGTGAATGCGGGGTCGGGGGACACCGGGTATAGTGAATGCGGGGTCCGGGGACACCGGGTATAGTGAATGCGGGGTCCGGGGACACCGGGTTATAGTGAATGCGGGGTCCGGGACACCGGGTATAGTGAATGCGGGGTCCGGGGACACCGGGTATAGTGAATGCGGGGTCCGGGGACACCGGGTATAGTGAATGCGGGGTCCGGGGAGACCGGGTATAGTGAATGCGGGGTCCGGGGAGACCAGGTATAGTGAATGCGGGGTCCGTCCGGGGAGACCGGGTATAGTGAATGCGGGGTCCGGGGAGACCGGGTATAGTGAATGCAGGGTCCGGGGAGACCGGGATATAGTGAATGCGGGGTCCGGGGAGACCAGATATAGTGAATGCAGGGTCCGGGAGAGACCGGGTATAGTGAATGCGGGGTCCGGGGGGAGACCGGGATATAGTGAATGCAGGGTCCGGGGAGACCGGATATAGTGAATGCAGGGTCGGGGAGACCAGATATATAGGGGGTGGAATATAGTGGATGCGGGGTCCGGGGAGAACCAGATATAGTGGATGCAGGGTCCGGGGAGAACAGATATAGTGGATGCGGGGTCCGGGGGACCGGATATAGTGGATGCGGGGTCCGGGGAGAAGATATAGTGGATGCAGGGGTCCGGGGAGACCGGATATAGTGGATGATACCGGATATAGTGGATGCGGGGTCCGGGGAGACCGGATATAGTGGATGCGGGGTCCGGGGAGAAGATATAGTGAATGCAGGGTCCAGATATAGTGGATGCAGGGTCCGGGGAGACCAGATATAGTGGATGCAGGGTCCGGGGAGAACGGATATATAGTGGATGCAGGGTCCGGGGAGACCGGATATAGGAATGCGGGGTCTGGGGAGACCAGATATAGTGGATGCAGGGTCCGGGGAGACCGATATAGGGAATGCGGGGTCTGGGGAGACCAGATATAGTGGATGCAGGGTCCAGGGTTTAGTAACACTTTAGTCCTCATGCACACGGGACGTTTTTACAGCGGCTTATTTTGGCTTTTGACTTTTTCTACAGCCAATAAACCCCCCAGCATGTTATCCTATGTGTCCATACACACATAGACTGTAATCAACGTTTTTTGGCTGGAAATAAAAACCCAGGACTAGTGGTTTTCTAGAGGATTTTTTTAGCTTTAAAAACAGTCGAACACTGAAAATCGTGGTAAAACGCCTCAAACCGTCGTTTTTGGATATTTTTTTGACCTAAAAAAAAGCTTAAAAACTCACTTTTGTAACATGACTTTACACAGCTAATGTTACCAGCGTTCTCAAAACGTCCCGTGTGCGTGAGGACTAAATGAAAGCTGCCGATACAATATTGAACATGACTTTTGGAATGACACATTGACACTTCTAGGAGATTTTTGTTATTGGGTCGCCAGTGATAGGGGTAGCATGCCATTGCCTCAGCCTGCACACACATTGATAGGTGGAAGTATCTGTTTTTAGGTGGGAGCCCTCCAGAGAGCGAAGAACTGGCTAGGCTTTATTGCACGCTTTGCTGTGTTTCTCTGAGCATCATGATCCATGGAGGATGGCAGAGTTGATCTGTCTGGGTGTTGGTAGTCCAGAGGACTGATATTTTGCTAGGAAGCCAATGGGAATGGGTAAGAATGATAGTTCTGTTTAACAGCTCCTTCCTTGCAGTCTGTGTGACCCCCTACAGTCTTTATGGCATTTTCATGGCTAGATACACACATGAAGTGCATACAAAGGAGCTGTTTTAAATGCAAAAAGATTTGTTCATCCAGTCCTGAGATTTACACAGCACAGCCACTTACCGTAAAGAATACAGGGTTGTAACCTCTCCGCTTACTGATTGGACAGTAAAGGAACAGCAGCAGATTGATAAGGTCATCCCTCTGCTTTCTACTTGTGTCAGCCTGTTCGTCAGTACCTTTGCATGCTGTACACCTTTTTGGCTCCCAGCCTTGCCATTCTCCCTCCCAGCCTGAGTGCTGACGTATAGGGAGCTGAAAAAGGCAAGATTTATTTATTATTTCAGGTACTTATATAGCACTGTCAATTTACGCAGCGCTTTACACATATATTGTACATTCACATCAGTCCCTAACCCTCAAGGGGCGTACAATCTAAGGTCCCTAACCCACATTCATACATACACATACTAGGGACAATTTAGACAGGAGCCAAGGAACCTACCAACATGTCTTTGGAGTGTGGGAGGAAACCGGAGTACCCGGAGGAAACCCACACAGGCACAGGGAGAACATGCAAAGCTCCAGGCAGGTGGTGCCATGGTTGAGGTTTGAACCGACAACCCTAGTACTGCCAGGCGGAAGTGCTAACCATTAAGCACTGTGCTGCCGATACATAGTCATATTCAGGTATTTTGTGATGTGTTAATGATTATAGAGCTTCCGTTTTTGTATATTTTTATGCCTATTCTGTCACCTTTTAAAATGACTGGTTGTTTTTGCTCTTCAAATGACTGGTTGTTTTTGCTCTTCAGAGGGCTTCTTTACCGAGATTTCTCATCAGAGGTCACCTGGACTCCACCAACTGCCTCATCACTCAGCCTCTGACGGGGGAGCTGATCGTAGAAACATCAGAGGTGGCCATCAAGAGTATTGAGCTTCAGCTGGTACGGGTTGAGACTTGTGGTGAGTTTGCAGGATGGTTCTGTGATTCCTTTAGAGACTAATGCAGGCCATAGATGGGTCGAAAATTGGCCGATTTTTCGGCCGAAAATAAAATCAGACGATTTTCGGATCGTTGGTGGGCTAAATGTTTGGCCGTTTTTCGGTATTTTGGCAGATTCTTTTTATCGGTAAAGTTGGAAAAAAATCGGTCGATTTTGCCAACCGCCGATTTTCGCGGCAATGATGGGCAAATCGGCCAATCTTTTACCGATAAAAAATCTGCGCATGAGCAGTGACCTGCAGGATGAGGATGAAGAAGAAGGGGGAGGAGGATGAAGAAGAAGAAGGGGAGGAGAAGATGGAGATGAAGAAGGAGGAGGATGAAGAAGAAGAATTCCAGTCCGGCGCAAAGTGTCCCTGCAGAGAGCTCTGCTATTTCTTTGACAGTTCCTTGACATTTTATAGCGGTTGCAACAATGTATCTATTTGTTTCTGAATAAAAACATCTGTATCCTAAATGGATACAAATAGATACATTGTTGCAACCGCTATAAATGTCAAGGAACTGTCAAAGAAATAGCGGAGCTCTCTGCAGGGACACTTTTTGCTGGCTGTAGACAGGATGAAAATCGGCCGTTTTTTTTTTTTTTTTTTTACACACCGTTGCTGGTAACGTCGGCCGCTTGAACGACCGATTTTAAAGAAAAATCGGCCGATTTTCGAACCGTCTATGACCCGTTGTGGCTGATTCATTTTCCGGTGTATTTTGCATTTTTGATGCGTTTTGCATTTTTTGGGGGGCTAATAGGAAAGTATGACAGTTCTGGTCATGTGATGCGACTTTACACTGTAGCACTCAAGTAGCATCAAAGTGGCACAGAAACCTCTGTGTTTCCAGGGTTGGGGTTAAATGTTAGTGTTAGGAGCTAGGGTTAAGGTTAGGGTTAGCATTGTAAACCCAACAATTCCCGCTAACCCTGACATGCAACATTGGACACACAAAGGTTCCTGCACTTCTTTGGCACTCAAGTAGTATTAAAGTCGCATCAGACAGTGTAAAGTCGCACTACAGGAAAAGAACTGTCATACTTTCCTATTGGACAAAAAAAAACCCTGCAAAATGCATCAAAAACGTAACACTTGCATTTTTGGTGCAGGTTGACTGAAGTTGCTAACACACAAAACGCAATCTGCTGTGGGGGGAAAAAAAAAAAGTCCCTGAACCTTTCCACAAAATGCACAGATGTGAACTAGATCCAAAAGAAACCATGTTAAATGGACTGTAGTGTGTTTCTGCAAAATGCATAAAAAAAAAAAACGCATTGGTGTGAACAAAGGCTCAATGCACACATTTTTGCAGGAAAAAAAATGCATTTATTTATTTTTAAAGAACCTGCAGAGCATTGCACCCACAATCAGTGATCATAGGTGCAATGTCAGGCACCTGCAGACAAGCCCTCCAGCTTTCTGCCAGTGTCTCTGTGCTGGCTGTTAGTTTGAAAACTTCAGGGCTTGTAAATGAAGTAAGAGCGCTCTCGTAAACACCCTCTCAGGTCATTGAAAACTACAAGCTGTCTGCTGCAGTAGAAGATCGGACTTGTAGTTTTCTTATTCACAGATTGCCATGAATGCATGATGGGGTTGTGCAGGCGGACCCCCGCACAGCTGTGCCAATTTTGAAATAAGATAGTGGGTATGATGAAAAGGACTGCCAATCGCTTTTACAGGGACAGGGGTTCTAACAACCCTGAGTATGGGTGTAACATGCTACGGAAGGTGAACTTCTCCTGTATTCAGGTTCTCCATGGTCCTGTCAACACAATGACAAGCCAGCAAAATACTAATTACATTGTCATCTTTTTTTTTTTTTTTTTTTAAACTGAGATTACATTAGAACCTTCAGTACCACATCTGACATTGTTGGGTGCCGTGTTCAATGACCTGGGCTATACCTTCGGCATACTTACTGAACCATTGGGCATAAATGTTCTGATTAATAGTCTACGATTTTCTTTTGGTGTTTAGGGCACAGAAAGAAGAAAAAAAAAACAGCTTCCATATTTTTTTTACGTGATGGGTCCCTTTTAAAGGGCAAGTGTACTTTTTCTTTAACCGCTAGCCTACCGGGCACTTATACCCCCTTCCTGTCCAGGCCAATTTCCAGCTTTCAGCGCTGTCGCACTTTGAGTGACAATTGTGCGGTCATGCAACACTGTACCCATATGAAATTTTATCATTTTTTTGTGACAGAGCTTTATTTTGGTGGTATTTAATCACCTTGGGGTTTTTTTATTTTTTCTTAAACCAAAAACCACTGAAAATTTTGAAAAATAAAATGTTTTTTTCTTAGTTTTTGTTATAAAATTTTGTAAATAAGTGATTTTTCTCCTTCACTGATGTGCGCTAATGAGGCTGCAGTGGTGGGCACTGATAGGCTGCACTGATAGGTGGCACTGATGAGGAGGCACTGGTAGGTGGCACTGATGGGCATTGACAGGCATCATTGATACATGGCACTGACTGGCAGCACTGTTAGGCGGCACTGATGCGTACTGATAGGTGGCACTGACTGGCAGCACTGATTGGCATTGATGGGTGACACTGAAAGGCAGCTCAGCTGGACACTGATATGTGGGATTGATGTGCACTGGTAGGTACTGATATGTGGCATTGATGTGGCACTGACACAAGGCACTGATGGACACTGACAGGTGGGCGCTGCTGAGGCTACACAGGTCATCAGTGCCCTGATGATCAGTGTACATGTTCCCTCCGCGGAAAGCCGATTACCGGCTCTCCTCTCCTCTCGAGCTGTCAGCGTGACAGCTCATGAGGAGAGAAATGCCGATAAACGGCATTTCCCTGTTTACATGTGATCAGCTGTGATTGGACACAGCTGATCATATGACCGAGCCGGCATCTTTGACTCTTTCCGTGATCGGTGATCCGCTGTGTCCGAGGGACACAGCGCACCGCCGATCTCTGTGCTGCGTGCTCCCTGAGCCACGCATGCGCGGTGAGAATGGGAGGACGTCATATGACGTCCTCCCAGAACGAGAGAACTGCCTTGTGCCCGTCTTATTACTATATGGTGGGCGGGAGGTGGTTAAAATCCTTTAGTCCAATTGCTAGGCCCTAGCACTGTCGCGGGACACCACTCTGATTTCAGCACTGGCTGTGAAGGAGTGCAGGTAAGGGGAGAATATGAGAGGGCTTATAGAGGGCCACAGTCACTTTATAACAAGACACTGTTGCATGGTGACAAAGGCAAAGTGAAACAAAAAAGAGCGCACCAACCTTGCACATTGTCGGTAAAACCATAATTTTATTAAATTCAGAATGAGACTCACAAACAATGAAGTAAATCAAGCATGCAAGTCCTCAAGGAACTTTAGAAATGTTTTAGAAAGGGAACTTTAGACACTCAGAGTATGGCTGACGCGTTTCAAAGGGCATCCCTTCTTCATCGGAGCTTAATGAAGAAGGGATGCCCTTCAAAACGCATCAGCCGTACTCTTAGTTTTGTCTACCCCTACGATGTGACTCGCACAGGCTTCACATTTCTAAAGTTCCTTTGAGGACTTGCATGCTTGATTTACTTTGTTGTTTGTGAGTATCATTCTGAATTTAATAAAATTATGGTTTACTGAGGTAATGCGCAAGGTTGGTGCGCTTTCTTTTTTGTTTCACTTTGCAGTATTGGTCGGGCTTCCCCAGCCTTGTTTAGAGCTGCACAACCTTATATGCATTGGTGGTCGAATTTTTCAAGTTTTGGTTCCATCCATCCACCCTTATTCTGGGTCATAGAGCGCAGGAGAGGTCGTTTCTGGTTCTGTTGGCATGGTGACAGAGGGTTTGTTCACCTTTTTATAGAAAAAAAAATGTAAAGGTGAATTAATAGTTGACATCCCTCCCACAGCCCTGGCCCCTGCTGTACTTACCTCCTGGGTTGCCAAGCTGTTAGTGACTCTGCAGCCCCTACAGGAATTTGAAATCCCTGCTCTTCATCTATGCTTCTGGGACAGACCAGATCAGTTCTGAATGATCACTAATGGCGCTGACCAATCAGAATCTAGCTTGCCTGCTCTGAAAGCACTGATGAAGAAGAGTGGCAATTTCTAATCCCACGAATACTGGACTGACAGGAGTGCTGACAGCTCAGTAACCCTGTAGGTAAGTGCAGGGGGGCTCCATTGTAAATTCTCCATTACATTCTTTCTGTAAAGGTGAACTAACCCTGACGATTACTCTAATATTTTGCTGCACCATGTAACCAATGGCTTCATATTTTCTTAGGCTGTGCAGAAGGCTATGCCAGAGATGCCACAGAGATCCAAAACATCCAGATAGCAGAGGGGGATGTGTGCAGAGGCCTCTCCATACCCATCTACATGGTATTCCCCAGACTGTTCACCTGCCCAACCTTGGAAACCACCAACTTCAAAATAGGTAAAGTATCATCTTCTACTTTGCGTGTGTAAAGAGAATGCCAATGGGCCCGTTGGATCAGTTGTTTTGCATCCAGCAGACTGTGCTAACTAAACTTTATTCCTCTTTGACAGAATTTGAGGTGAATATAGTCGTCGTTCTCCAGGATGACCATCTCATCACAGAGAACTTTCCACTCAAGTTGTGTCGAGTGTGAAATTGGCTTCTGCTACCGAAGACACCGGTGGACTCAGAGATTCTGCAATGATCCGACTGGAGTAGTCTGAGGATCCGACGACATAAGAACTTCCAGTTGGTCATTGTGCAAATTCTACAGCAAGATATAGTCTAGACATCGGCTGGTTGAATGACGCAAACAATTACTAATCGTCTTCTGGAGAACAGAATTGACCACTATTGCTGAACTTTTATTACACCGTGTTCTAGATTGAACGTGGCAGCTGAAGAATTGACCTAAATCTGAATTACAGTACTTACATTTCATACACAACTCTGAGGGACTTTATGTTCTTCCTGTTAACTTAACATCAAGTACAGCTTAAGATATTAAAGTGAACGAAAGTCGATATTTCACTTACCTCCTGTGTTTCGTTTTTTTTTTTCTTTAATAAATACCCAGCAATCTTGACATTCATTAAGGCTCCATTCACACCTGAGTGTTGCATTTTTCTAGGAGTTTTTGCACAGCGTTTTTTTTTTGAGCTTTGGTGGTTATTTTTGTAATTGCCAATTACGAAAAATCTGTTTCACCATTTTGTTGCTAGGGTTTTCAGCTTTTTTTTCAAATTTTTTATTTTTGTTTAGTTAGTATAAGGGGATAGAATTAAAGTTAGGGTTGGAAGTTAATTTTTTATTGTCATTTATTCATTTTATAAGGCTTTTTTTTTTAATATTTTATTAATTTTATTTTAGGGTTAGGGAGTTAAGGTTGGAGTTAATTATTTATTTATTACACATTTATTTTTATTTAACATTCATTTTTTAATTTATTTTACTTTTTTTAATTTGAACAGAAAATTGCTCCAAAAACTTGCAAATCTCATGTTTCTATGCAGGAAAAATGCTTCAAAAAGGCACCAATCATCTGCCTACAAAAGGTAGTTCCAAACTTTTTTGAGCTTCAGGTGTTTGGCGGAGATTTGAAGTGGACATGGGGGGGGGGGGGGGTGTGTGTGTGTGATTACATCTTGATTGATGAAAGGCTTCACCTACTTATTATTCTAATACACAGGCTGGAGGGGGTGTGACACAGCCTATGACTGGCAGAAATCCACCCACACCATGTTACTGTCAAAAAAAGATTTGATTTCAAATATATATTTGTATGATGAATAAAAAACTGTTTATTGATATTATTTATTTTTACTCTGTATCCCAAATCGCTGTTTTTTTTTTTTAACATGTGACCAGCAGCAGAGGACTAGAAGCTCCTCCTGCCACTGTTTCCCACAGACAGGCTGGAAAAGAGCTGGGTCATGTGACAGCTGTATATCAATTAGGAATAAAGTACTTAGATTTTTTTTTAAATTTAAATAATTACAATGCCATCATTCACATACAGAAAGAAGGGAGAATCTAAATTGAACAGTGCATGTATCGTATCACTTTAATCTTCAGAACAGCAGAGCTGAGGAAAGGACGGCCATCCTCCCAAGACACTAGCACAATAGCAAAGGCATGCTGGTAAAGGGGGGGTTATACTCTGGGCTGTTGCTGGTTTCCAATGTGAATGCATGACCCAAAGGTTTAAAGTGGTATCAACCACTTCCTGTCCGGCCAATGTACATAAATGGCCAGACGGGAGCAGTGCAGGAGCAGGTTGCCGTTCATAAACAGCGCCTGCATTTTCAGGCTGTGTGCGCGCTCCCCGTGAGCGTGTGGCACCACGAACACCGATCACTCTACGGGATCTCTGTGTGAAGTCCCGATCATGTGATCACTGACTGGCCAATCAGTGATCACATGACTAGTAGTAAGCAAGATGTCACTTCTGACATCATTGCTTACCATGTGTGAAATCTGCGAATGATCACAGGGATCACATGGTACAAGGCTATTCACAACAGACTTGTACCATGTGACCAGCTGGGACCAATCACATCATTTCTCAATGGCTGCAAGAATGCAGCCAGAGAGCAGAAATAATTCATTTTACAGCCTTTATGGGTGTAAAAGCAATCAGTGTAAAAAAAAAAAAAAATCTTCATCACTGCCCACAAGTAGTACAGTGTCACTAGGTTGACAGTATGTTAAAAAAATAAAAATGTAAAAAAATTTTTGGTTATAAACTAATTTGGGTTATTTTTTTTTTTTTTACTAAAAAGATAAATGAATACATTTTGGCCAAGATTGATGAAGAAAGATTATTTATTTGCAACTTTTATAAGGAAAACACTTTTTTTCCAAATTTTTGGACTTTTTCATTTATAAAGCTAAAAAAAAATAAAAATCCCAGTGGTGAATAAATGCCACCAAAAGAAAGTTTTATCCGTCTCAAAAAAATGCTAAAAAATTCATATGGGTACAGTGTTGCATGAGCGCGTGATTGTCATTCAAAGTGTGACGGCGCTGAAAGCTGAAAATTGGCCTGGACAGGAAGGGGGTAAAAGTGTCTGGATTGGAAGTGGTTGATTTTGTCCTACAGGTAAACTTATAGTAAGTCTTAGATTGTAAGCTCCCAGGATCAGGGCCCTCCTATCCCTCTTGTATTATTGGTGTATTGTCTCCCTCTATATTGTAAAGTGCTGAGCAAACTGTTGGCGCTATATAAATCCTGTATAATAATAATATTCATGGTACCTACAGGAAGGACTTTATTATCTCTTAGACTTGTGCTGTTTAGGATATATTCAAATCAGTTCCAGCAGATGACATCACTGCGCAGTGCATTCGGGGCACACTGCCATTTAAACGGCTGGAGAGTGTGGAGCGGGAAGGAAGACCGGGCGAAAATGGGAGTGGTGATAGCTCAGCACTGGAGGTCTCTGAAAAGTAAGTCTGTCGTAATATGCACTGCATACTAGCACATTATGAAACAAAGCTGCAGGGACCTATTTAAAAAAAAAAAGTAGGTACAGTTTACTACGGCTTTAAGACTCCCTGTGTGCTCCTCAATGGAAGGGAATGAAATGCATTCTAAGTCCTATTGGGTAGGTTTGTTGATGTATTAGGTCTGTAATCTTGTAGCTAGTCTTATTCATAATACTGCATTAATAAATAAATGATTACAAAAATACCTGAACTTGAACTTTCTGATTATGCTGCCCATGAGCACACGGTGAATTAAACAGTATCTGTGTAGGAATCCCACATACATGAAACTAAACACTTAAAGTGTTACTAAACCCCAGGCCCTGCATTCACTATATCTGGTCTGCCCGGACCCTGCATTCACTATATCTGGTCTCCCCGGACCCCGCATTCACTATATCTGGTCTCGGACCCTGCATTCACCCGGAACCCGCATTCACTATATCTGGTCTCTCGGAACCCGCATTCACTATATCTGGTCTCCCGGAACCCTGCATTCACTATATCTGGTCTCCCGGAACCCTGCATTCACTATATCTGGTCTCCCCGGACCCTGCATTCACTATATCCGGTCACCCCGCTCCCTGCATTCACTATATCCGGTCTCCCAGACCCTGCATTCACTATATCTGGTCTCCCACAGTACACAATGCAATTATTTTAGCAAATATAAACTGCAAAATACAATCAGCAGTTAAAGCAGTCTTGTGACTTCTATCAGTGTCCAGCAGAGCACATGTTAAAGCTTGTAGGAGTTTTCATTCTGTTTTAGGAGGATGCAGGACCCCTGACATCTGTCTGGAGAGTGCTGATTTGCCCTGTGCTGATCATATGCACGCTCCCAAAAAAGGAAAAAAAAACACCTCTCTAGCAATACACACCAAACTGAGCATGTGCAGCTTTCCCCTGAGCCTCTGTTCTAAGAAGAGGAGGAGTGTAGAGTGACTCCATGAGCTATGTCTTAGGAGATAAGAGGGGGTCACTGGAAGAAGGGGAGAAGACAGGATCAAACAGCCATTTTACACAATGCAGAGGATTAACCCCTTAGGCTCCACAGTGAGTATAACAAGCACGTCTTACTGCATATACAGACTGATTTTACTGTTGTGGGTTTAGTAACACTTTAAATAACCTCCAGCTGATGTGAGGGACAGGCGCTCTCTGCATTATTATGGCTCAGATAGTAAATAGCGGAGTAATCAGAACTGAGTGATAGAACAATGGCAGATACTGTTCATGTAACAGCGGATTAACAAGGAACTTCAAAGGACGATTCTCACTGACTTGCTCTAAAACATTGTACATTTCCATCCATTTTAATCACAAATTGATGTCCATTTGTTATGTATTACAACCTGCGTTAAAGTGTACTGCATGTCCCAGGATATCCTGTGCATTGTGTTGGCATCCACTGACAGCCGTTGCACTAAAATGCATACATGTGGCAACAGGTCAACACAGTGTTATGGTGGGAATAGGATAACATGGGAAATTATTCACATCCTTCCATTGATCTGCGTTTTACAGCTGCGCTAAAATGCTCTGATGTGAATTGGCCCTAACTGCTGAAGTATGGGAAATGCTGCTCGGCCAGTGTTGTGACTGCCATACTAGTTAATTTACACGTATTGGGATATTTTTATATATTTACTTATTGATTTTGCAAAGTCGTAGCAGAATACATTTTGGCCTAAATTTATGACGAAATTACGCCTGGTTCGGTGGGGGGGGAATCTTCTGGAGGGCAAGTGGTTAAAGTGCCTCCATGCTCCCACACATATGTAAAAGGTGTTCACATCACACACGTGAAGTACCTCCTTGACCATTATAGAGAGAACAATAATTCTAGTTCTGACCCTCCTTTTGTAACTCTAAACTGGTAACCTGTAAACATTTTTAAAGCAATGCCTATGGAGATTTTTAGTATTTTGTAATTTGTCTCTCTAAAGCATGACATGTTAGGTATCTATGTACTCGGCCTATTATAATCTTTGATATTGTAACCAAAAAATTGGGTTATATATGGTGTTTTTTGCATTAAAATTAATTGAAGTGTTTTTCCCAAAAATTGTTAAAAAAAGAAAACAAAAAAAGCACGGCCCAACTACCATGTGGTATAAAAACATTGCAATGTCCACCATTTTATTCTTTAGGGCCCCTGCTTTA